GCGATTTCCTCAAACAGATATTATTCGAAAGCCTTCCCAGGCTCCTCTATCCATTGTGGATTGCTTGGGTCTGATAAACCGTTAAATTGAGTAGCGAGGTACGAGAGATTCGGGACGAAAACGAGTATGATGACAAACATGGGGATTTTTACAAGATGTGTGCGAATCTCTAGGTTAAACTATCTAACGTACGAATGACGGACACTCTCTGGTCCAATTAACGCAGAAGAGTCTTATTGAAAATTAAAGTGCTTACGTAAGACCTAAGGTCTAATATAGTCCCCAACCGAAGGAGCTTCTAGAGTCCCAATACCTTGGGCCTGTTCTATGGGCCGTTTCACTCTTCCCCTCTATGATCAAAGCTTGCAGGATCATATGATATCGTATTGAAATTCAGTCACAAAGGCGTCCTTACATCCAGGTTTCATACGAGAGGTGGTTCTTGACCCAACACGCGATACAAGGTGTTATCGTATGCTAGACTTGACAAAACGGCACGAGACGCCGTATATTCAGTCTCTCAAAGACTTGATGATTTCTGCAAATTTCAACAGTTCCGTTAGTAAACACACGAGTGATTTGATGCGGACCTTCCATCTTAGGATCCAATTTATTTGGATTGAAGTTCTTGATTAAAACTTCACCACCAACAACGTAATCAAACTCCTTTCGTTTTGCATTTTGTCTTCTTAGATTTTCGTTGATAAGCAATTGTCGTTTTTCCTGTATACTCAAAAGATCGACAATCACAGGAATCTTGAGCAACATATCACGAGCAAATACGACTTCACCCGGGGTGTTGTTCTTCAAAGATTGAGAAACAGAACATCTCATGGCATGATTGCAGGCAGCAAGAGCATCGTCAACTGCTCGAGTAGCTGTCTGAATATTGGGAGCCATGTTGTTGTTGTTGAATCTTGTTCGTAGAATGTTGCCAACAGTCTGATGCATTCGTTCACAGATAGCATTAGCAGTTGGATTCTTGCTTGTTGCGGATGCATCTTGAATTCCCCACTGCTGTAGTTTCAACTGAAAATCATGACCAATGAATTCTCCTCCTTGATCATGAATACACTTGAACGGTTTCGGGTATCAAGAAAGCCAGAGATTGCCAAACACATTCGTAACGTGTGCTGATGTTTTGTTCTCGATACGCGCAAGTTCAGTGAGATTTGTGACGGGATCAATACACGTGAGCGCATTGAATTCAATTTCTATACCGTTGACCTTGACCTTCCAAGGCCCAATCAAATCCAAAGCCACTGAAAACCACGGGACCAAATCTGCGTGTCTTTCGGGCAGATGTCCGTATTGGATGTTCACATTTTTGTTCACTTGACAAACTTCACAATTGAGAGATTTGACTTTTCTTTTCAACGCAGGAGCATAGAATCTTCTGACAATTGTATTGTACAAAGAGGTGGTGCCTCGATGTCCGAGCACCAAATGGTACCACACAATCACAGGAACACACGAGGAGTTAGTGTTTTTCGCGTTTTTCGTGCGCGTTGAAATTGTGGCAAAACAAATGATGTCAGGATGCTTGCAGGCGCCAACTTTATTCCGATGAAATACCCGATCACTTCGGAGACGCCAAAAATGATGATTTCATTTCAAAGACGCACATCCGGGTTCAAGCACGCAAATCGAGTTTTCAAGCACGCACATCCGGGTTCAAGCACGCACATCCGGGTTCAAGCACGCATTCAAAGACGCATATCCGGGTTCTAGCACGAATAAAAGATCCAACACCCCCCTCAAGGGGTATCCCAGCTGAAATCAGTGCACGTGGTCGCGCAAGTCAAAATTCACGATTTCTGATTCTCTTCAATGTCAGATCACAAAACTTCAGGAAACGAAGAGAAAAAAGCATCATGACAACTTCAGGAAACGAAGAGAAAAAAGCGATATTACCTCTGACATCCAGAGCATGATGATTAGGGAAATTCCTGACCTTAGGATCACTCATTGTTATAGTACAAACAAGCCGCCGTCGATGTGCTGGAAGGGATGAAAGGTCTTGTCTTTGAGCGACCCAGACAAAAGCTTACTGACACGTTTGTCAAGTCATACCCACATATCCATGTGGCGATCGTGTGCTATTTGTGGTTGAGTTACCCAGAGACATTACAAGAAATAATATCACATTGCCAACTGCCAACAAGGTGAAGCCACATGGGCGGCCCAGGCTCCAACCGCACATGATAGTAAGATTAGAACTGAAGCAGATGAAGAAACTTACGGTTCGCCAACAATCGACCGTCGTCGCTGCTGAAACGAGCAGGCTGGATGCTCAAGTCAGTGTTGCCAGCAAGGGCAATAGTACAATTGTATTTGCAACATACAGGTCACCTGGCTTCGCAAATCATCATATGAGCGCTGTAGTCCAGTGTGCCAAGTGAAAAGAATGTGGAATGGATTGCTTTAAGCCGATCGAGAATCGTCTGAGATTCCAAGGCGACGCAGCTGATGAAGGAAAAGTGTTGCCAGCAAGTGGAATAAGGTGGTGTTCTTGTAATCTTCTTGTTATTGGCTTGCAATTGGGGTGGTCGTGTGGGCAGAGTGAAAGTATGGGCAGAGTGAAAGAAATGAGAAATGGGAAGTTTTCTTAAAATGAATGACCTGCAATGTCAAGGGGGTGGCAGCATATGAAGACAATTGAAACTGTAGCTGATTGAAAACTGAGTTCAGCAGCAATCAGCATGATCGCTTGATGATGATTCTCCATTGATTAGTACCTATAACCTAAGAAATGTGACCGCTTGTCCAATAAGAACCGGCCTGCTAATTCAAAAAAGACGAAAGCCTATAGTACAGATCATGGCTGAAGGATCGATTGTGCACAGTTGTTCCATCAATGAGCAAGTTTCCAGTTGAATCTAGGCAACGATTTCCTCCCATAACATCCAACAACTAGGTAGAATTCGATGTATTTATTACATTCAATTACAAAATCATAGGCTGGTATAGAGTTTTTAATTGTTATGGTGACGATGTATTTTGTTTGATGATTGTCATCTGCACCACGAAATCGATAAAATGTACACCCCTTTACTGTACCTGGTACTGTACCGTAGGATATCGCCGCCAAGAAATCATATTGCGAATTTTTGAATTTTAAAAAACTGTCTCCAAATGGATTTTCAGCGATTTTTCTGGCAAGGCTTGCGCATGGAAGTTCGCTCTCATCACCTCGCTGCAAAGGGAGACGCTCCGTGTCACCCACCCCGCAACCCGGATGCTTGACACTCACCCCAATCTACACCTCCCAAAATCCCCCACTTCAAAACCGGCTGGCGTTGGATCTTGGCCAGTGCCGACCAGCTTTGGCCAGCCCGCCTCGTTTTAGTTTAGCGCCCTTTCTACCCATCCTCACTTTTCTGCTGCCTCCCTCCACAATAACAGTGGAGCGCCTACACTACATGATCTTCCCAATGAATGCTGTAACTGGGAAGTACAGTCGATCATTCTGATGCGTCAAAAACTAAAGAACGCATTGTACCAGATTCTATCGACCTTGTAAACAAAATTAATAGTCATGTCATTGTCCATTTACTTCCATTCCAAGGATAAGGTACGGTGATCCTCCTTTTGTCAGTCATAGTTGCTGTACGAACCCCATCCATTCTGACTTCTTACAATTGTAACAACTCAACAGGACAAGATCCCACACGGTTTCCGCAACATGTACCCATTGCCTAATCAAACGCCAGCTCATCCATCAAGCAGCTTTCAAACGATGCTCAAACAGCAGTGTTGATGTTCTGTTGTCCAAAGACAAAGGCGCAGTATTCATATGCTCTTGTTTGAGCACCAGTCATTCAGGCAATACATTGCTGTGCCAAATGGGGACAGAGCCGAGAACTGTGCCACAAGTGTGCAATTCCTCTATCTAGCATCTTCACCAAGGTCCAAAACCATACAACCACATTCGTATTTCAGCCTTGAAATTGGCGCAACAGAACAAAGCCTACGTGGACAGTCTCATAGTTCAAAGTATAAAGTGTTCAGTGTCGACGTCGACATGCTACCAGCAGACCAACACAAGCGCCATGATCAATTCTCCATCAATCGACTATGGATATTATCATGAAGAGCAAAGCAGCATTTCACAAATAATTATTTATTATAGTCTATGTTTTTTGAAAATACATTGCACAGCAAGAAGACTTGTGTTGACACTGAACGCCATAATATCAATTATTATACATTCTATACCGTCCATGAAACATCAATCTAAGTTCCCTCTCCAGATGACAGACATGGACCAGTGTTGAGCCTCTTATTGCACGTGCGACCCCAGCCTTTTTCGCAAACTTCACTAGTGTCGACCGTCTTGATTAATGTCTGACCGTTAGCAACGTCTTTTTCTCAAAACCATGCAGGATCGGACGCCTTTTCTTGCAATTTTTTTATTTTTTCAAACAATTTTTCACGGCTGATTTCGGGCTTCTGTAGCACACTTCACAGTGTTGAGCTTCTTATTGCACGTGCGACCCCAGGCTTTTTTCGCAAACTTCACTAGTTTCGACCGTCTTGATTCATGTCTGACCGTTACCAACGTCTTTTTCTCAAAACCATGCAGGATCGGACGCCTTTTCTCACAGTGTTGAGCACGTGCGACCCCAGGCTTTTTTCGCAAACTTCACTAGTGTCGACCGTCTTGATTCATGTCTGACCGTTACCAACGTCTTTTGTTCCAAACCGTTCGATTTATATGTTGATTTGAATAAGTACACATGTTTTGTGAATAACATACGTTTTATGCTGTAAACGGCCTGAGTTATTCTTGGCATCATTTGCAGCTTGGGGACATCATTACTGTCAAGCACTGCTTGCATTCTTCATTATATCAAGTCATTTTGGTTAAATGATGGAGGTGAAGAGGTGATTTTTTGTATGACTTTGTTACAGCAAACATGTCAAAACATGTCAATTGAAAGATGTTTTCAGGTAAGCGTGTCTTGGAACTTAACCAAAATGTATCATGTGAGAGTATTTTGAGAACGGTATTTTAACGTCTTTTTTGCTGTTTCGAATACCTTGGAGAAAACTTCCCTAGCGTCGAGCGTCTTGATGGATGTCTTTCGATTTATATAGCCTAAGACATGCACATGCACGCTCAAACCAAGGGGATACAACAGATGTTTTTTATTTGAATAAATACGATTTATATTGTATAAAAATGTAGTTTTCGTAAAATTGGTTGAGGGACGGGCAAGAGATATATATGGAAGGAAATACTGTACCAATGTTGGACGACCTGCAAAAGCACAACTTGTGGGGCAATGGGATATTGAAGATTACCATGAGAAGATCAAGAAGTAGAATAATAGATCGACACTACCTAAAACAAAATGTCGAACAATTGGGAAGTCGCAATCCAACCTTTTCTTTATGCCTTTCTTTTAAAACTATTTTTATTTGTATAAAATCTAGTTTATTCTGAATAACATCGGAATTATACTACCGGCACAGGTATACTGCACGCACGTGGCAACGTTTGCGAAATAGTCCGCGGAATAAGGCGGGTGGAGGGAAAAATGGGAGGAAAAAATGGGAGGGAAAAATGGGAGGGAAATTCAAAAAACGGCGGGATGGTACCAGTACCGATTGTTGGAAAAACAGCCACAGATCTCATTTACAACTTCAGTTTTGAAGCCAATCTGTTTTTTCCAACATACCATTCAATTGATTGGAAACATGATGCAGTGATCACTTCTTCTCCCTCTGCCTGCCCCTTTGTGTGAGATGCGGCAGTCCAAAACGCGGCAGTCCAAAACACTACACTTCTTACACAACGAACAATCAAGATCTACGACATTTGAAAACCATCAACAACATCAAGTCCCTACATTTACAACACATGCAGAAATGATGGAATTGATTTGGGACGAGGATCTACAGCCTCCGCTGATGAAGATGTACGAAAGTCTTACATAGTCGCCTCTGGGAGTGGATTTTGGAGTATCTGGAAGGATTGAGCCTACAATGTGACAGAGAGCAAAGACTACTGTTACCTGTCGCAGAGGCTAGTGGAGCTGGATTGTTTGAGGACGTTGACAAGGGTTCCTGAGAATCCAGCGTTTGTTCTGTTGTGTTGAGAACGAAATTGAAAATGTTAAGACAGGAGGGCAAATTTGAATGCAACTGGTCGTTAACGGCTGCACGCTCCATCGATTAATTTTTCAATTTCGTCTCCCAAATAATAGGGGGGCGGTCTGTCTGTTTGCTGGCTTCTAGTTTTAAGAAAATATAGTTTTCAGTACATTTTTACATACGACACTGGGGGGGTGGGTGACACCGAGAACGACCCAAAATCAAAGACGCACATCCGGGTTCAAGGACGCACATCCGGGTTCAAGGACGCCAAATGAAAGACGCAACACATTTCGCGTTGTCAAATCAATGACACACATCCGGGTTTTTACTCCTCTTCAGCATTCGGTCTTTTCTCTTTTCAGAACGACTGCAAAAAACTATTTCTGAAAGTTCAATTTCTACTAAATATTCAACGCGCGCAAAAGACGCCAAAAACACCAACTCCTCGCGTGTTCCAGGAGCAACCAAAGTTTCAGGCAAGTGAATTCTCCACTCGTTAGGTTTATTCAAATCTGCACGATAGCAGATCACATTTCGATTGTCAATTTGCATGATGGGATACTGAGCCCAAGTTGCTGCATTTTGCGATTTTTGAATGAGTGCAACATCTTGGAGCTGATGTTGTCGGATGTTTGCCATCGTGATTGGATTTGGCATAACTTCCAATGGAGGATGATTCAAAAACGATTCAAGCATCTCATCATTTTCAATTGCATCATGTCCATGGTCACCATCTCGGCAACAGGAGAAAGAACATTTGAAGGTACGATTGAATTCAGCTTCAGATGGAGGAGGAAGAAGAACATCTTCTTCAAACGAGTACATTTCATCTTCGGGATCCATTTTGACTTTGAGTTTGTCAAATGCGATCAATTTACCTTTAGAAAGCGAACTCTTCCCCTCAGACGGTTTCTCAATTCGCGGTAAACGCAAGAAACAGTCGGCCAAAACGTTGTCTTTACCTGGCAAATAGTTAAACGTAGGCGAAAATTCTTCCATGTACATTCGCCAGCGTAAAACTCGTTGTGTATTCAACGTGCGGAAAGTGAGATTTTTGTGATCAGTAAAGATAGTCAATTGCGTACCGTAAAGCATAGATCGAAACTCTTTCAAGCAATGCACAATAGCCAACAATTCTTTTTCCATTACAGAATAGTTCTTTTGTGCATCATTGAGTTTGCGACTCCAATACGCAACCGGCTTCTTGTCTTGCATGATCACCGCGCCCATTTGATAGTCAGAAGCATCAGTGTAGAGTTCAAAGGGCTTGTTGTGATCTGGATAGCGCATTAATATATCGCTAACCATCAAAGACTTCATAGTCTTGAATGCAGTATTACATTCGTTGGTCCAGACAAAAGATCTGGTGCCAGTGAGAGCTGTTAAAGGTTGCAAAAGATGAGAACGTCGCGGCCACATGTGACAATAGTATGTTACAGCGCCCAAGAAAGCTTGAAGTTCAGTAATGTTGCGAGGCACATCCATTTTGAGGATGGCGTCTACCTTTTTCTTCCACGGCTTGACACCTTCAGGGGTCAACCAATGGCCCAAGAAATCTATTTCTTGAACACACCATTCACACTTCAAAGGATTTATTTTGAAGCCAGCTTACTGTAGACGCTCGACCACTGTCTTGATCAATTGCATGTGTTCTTCATAAGAATTAGAAAAGAGTCCAACATCGTCGATGTAGACTTCAACACCTTGCTCTTTTAACCCATGCAATGTTTTCTCAATGTAGTATTGAGCAACATCAGGAGCAGGTTTTAATCCCATCGCCATTCGTTGATACTGATACTTGCCGTATTGTGTAACAATCGTGCATAATTCTTTACTTTCATCGTCAAGCTCAAAAGAATAATACATCATTGTGAGATCGAGTTTTGTAAAGAATTTGTAACCAGCACGACGAGAGACAAAACTTCATCAATCAATGGCAATGGATATACTTTACGTTTGAGAACCTTGTTCAACTCGCGAAGATCGCTGATCCATCGTACTCGACCATCCTTTTTAGGAATGATGAATGTAGGCGAAGCCCATTCTGTTGGACCGCATCGTTTGGGTACATTGATGGCTTCCAGATGGCGAAGTTCCTTGAGAAAAGCATCTTGATGCTTCACAGGAACAGAGTACGCTTTGGAATGGACAGGAACGGCACCGTCTTCCACTTCCAAATGGATCTTCTCGTGTTTGTAGTGTCCAAGGTTGCCATCAAAAAGCTCTTGTGTATTTTCCAATGCAGTTGCCAAGAGATTTTGTTGTTCAGTCGTCAAATGGACTTGCTTGGATGCAACTTCACGACCAGTTGTTGCCTCATATTTGGCATCAAGGATGAAAGCATCGTCAGCGATATCATCATCATCAAGAATGTCCAAATAACCCCAATCCAAAGCAAGAGTCCAGTTGGTATGATTTTGCCAATGGTGTTAAAATCCTGAGACAGCTCCACAGGAGCAAGGCCTCTGGATTGGGCTTTGAGTCGATAAAGGTAGTTTATACAAAGTTGGTTGATAAATAATCGAATTAATAAATTGTGAGGTTATCACTACTTGATAATACTTGGAAAGAGTTGCTGCATCGAATTTCTAAGAA